GAAAAATAATTCAGATCCGGTTCCTGCTATATTAGTTGAAACATTTCGTTCCTTGAATTCCTGGAGACGCAAAGGAGAGGGACGTTTTATAGGCTGTGCACCCCTATTATAGGTATGGATTTTGAATCACTTTAAACATTAAGAAAGATCTCCTAGACGAGTATTCATAGAAGATTTCTCACCTTTTCAAGATTTTCTCTCTCGAAAATGGCCTGGAGGATATGATGAAGAAAAATGGATGAACATCTTTTGAAATCTCGAAGATAATGATGTATTGTGGTGAGCCTCATGGAATACTTCTTCAAGCATAATGTATAAGCATGGAAAGCATGATTGGGTTCCATTTCCTGGCATATGGGGTTCTGTAGGATATGCAACTTTGATGGTTTCCAAACAATATGGACCAAGACAGTTTATTCCTGCTACATCAGGTTTATCCGAATCAAAGCTTGCATTCATAAGTGATCAGTACAAGGAAAAGATCAGAAAAGTTGTTGAGGCTTTGAAACGGATTCATCAAGTAAATTTATTTACTTTCAGTCAAAAGCTCTCACCCGAATACGAGTAATGGAGAATTAATCGAGTCAACGACAACATTCCAGCGGTTAATTTTGAGAATGTTCAACCTATCAAAGAACATGTGATAATTATATCATCTCCATTAGAGATGGCAAAACAAAGAAATTGAGATAGACATCCATAAAGGGAGAGCAAATCAAGTTAGCAAGGTTGAAAAACAGCTCAGGATGGATTTCAATGATCTCCAGTCGTCCTATTAGCAGATGGTAAAGACTCAGATTATCAAAGGATCATGCAAAAAAGAGTCCACGGGTTTAAAAAGAAAAGCTGAAGAAGATAAAGAGGAGCTCAAACAAAGTAAACACCATGCCAAGATACTTTCCAAAGAAAAGGAAGCATTGGAGCAAAGATTGCTAGAAAATCAAACTCAAAACTAGAAATTAAAAAGCAAGATCATAAGGTTGGAAACTGCACTACAAAGTCAAGAAAGTAACTCAGAAGTTAAAAATCTAAGGAAGCAAGTGAATGAGCTGGAAGCCAAAGTCCAAGATCTTTAAACAAAGGCGAATAAACTCTCTATGGTCCCGTACGAAGGAATTTTGCAGTGGCTCTATCATTGGGAATATGCTCAATGGAAAGTCAAACAAAGAGACGACCTTATTGTAAAATATTTGGAACAAACTCCGGGAGTGGCACAATATTTGGTGGATTTGGCATACGAAGCTACCACTTTGAGTAAAGAATTAGAGCTAGGAACCGAAGAAGCTCATAAGATCTTTGAGTTACTTGAACATATACAGCAGTTAGGAGAAGTCGCTTAGATGTTTCTGTGATGTTGTATTTTTACTATGTATTAAAGCTTCGAAATAAAACTTTGTTTTAGTATAAAAGTTGTTCCGAAGGAATCATCTCGATATCAACACCTTGCATTTTGCATTAGCATTTTTATATTTCTCATACTTGTTAATAAAAACTCATATTCATTAAAAAGGGTTTTTTTCTCTTTTTCGATGAATATTGGACCCCTAATCATCCATATAATACTAGAAAAAGGGCAATGGACAATAAGATCGCTCAAATTGAAAGAAATCAGCTTGAGATACAAGAGATTTCAAGAAAATTCAGGAAGAAATGCATGAACAGCTAATAAAATCCCAGACTGAGATGGTGAAAAATTTGCAAGTATGTTACAAAAAAAGTACGAGTCAAATAAATGTCTCATCCATTGGTACTTTCATTGAGGATCCTTTGTATACTCCAGGCTTTACACCAAGAGCATATCATTTAAAAGCTAAAGTAATTGAGGAGCCTTTATACCCTCCAAACCATGAAACATCTCATGTTAAAGCCCAATCAGGAGAATTTACTCAACCAGGAAGGGTAAACATAAATTTACCTAGTGCTTCTATAAACCAACAACAAGTTGAGAATGTTCCAGATTTTGATCAAGAAGAAAAGAAAGATTTAAACAAACAATTGGAACATCTAATGGAAGAAGTTAGGGTTATGAAAGAAGTCTCTAATGTATATGGAATTGAAGCCAAGGATTTGAATTTGGTACCTGATTTGGTATTACCACCCAAGTTCAAAATCCCAGATTTTGAATAATTTGGTGGCATAAAATGTCCTTCTACCCATATCACGATTTTTTGTAGGAAAATGATGGGTTATATAAGGAATGATCAACTACTGATCCATTGTTTCCAAGAGAGTTTAACTGGTTCGACCATCCAATGGTATAACCAGTTAAGTAGAGCTCATATTAAATCCTGGAAAGACTTGGCTAAATCTTTTTTGGAACAATATAGGCATGTGAAGGATATCAGGCCTAATCGAATGGTATTGCAGAACATGTAAAAGACTAGTTACACCTCTTGAGTTGTACTATTTGCACTATCCGTCTCCTAGCAGAGAAATGTCTCGACAAGTGTAGGTACTAAAATAAAATAAAACTAATAATTTAGATACTAAATGTATAATTTATCTTAGTTAAAATTATAATTATGCCAAGATATATAAAGATATAACGACCTTTCATGTACAAGTATATGTAGGACCCATAATTTTTCTCATTAATCAGCTTAATTTGCGGCCTTGGAATGTGCCTTCTAAAACGTAAAAGAATCCCTCTAATCATTTAAAAAAAACCCCTCTAATCATTAAAAAAAACCCTCTAATCATAAAGGAGAAAACGGTAATAAAAATTGAATTAAATATGTTTTCCCCTTTTTTTATATAAATCAAATGGGAAGATTTTTTTACACTCACGAGCAGCGATTAACACAACTAAGGATAAACATAATTAATTTGATTTATAAAAATTTAAATTTTAAAGTATTTAACGTATAATTATAAATTAATTAAAAATTTAAAGATAAATTACTTAAAATAAAGAGTAAATTATACCAACGACCACCTAACTATTACTCATTTTCATTTTGACCAATATTTTTGAAATGTTTTCAATCGAGTCACTCAACTATTTAAATGCATTCAATTAAGCCACTTGCTGTTAATATTTAACGGATAAGCTGGTGTGACAATTAAAATATTTGTTATAATTACACATTTTGTCATTTTTACTTCTATATTCTATCAATTTGATCCTAATTTTAATAAATTAAAATAAATTTAACCCTCAAATCAATTGTTTCCATGTATAATGACCCAAATTCAACTTTTTATTTTAATTTTAAAAGTTATGGCATATTATGTATTTATAACAAAACCTTTTTCTAAAATATTGAATAATTCAAACAATAATTTATGATATTAAATTTAAAGCAAATTAAATTTATCGCCCTTTTGATATTGGTCAATCTCTTAGTACAAATTTTTCCATGCTAAGTCCACCGAGAATATTATTAGTATAAACTTTTATAAAGATGGTCATAAAATTTTATGGTAGGAGATGATTTTTTTTTTAAATTTTAAAGGAAGATTGTGTGAAACGTGAAAGAAATCACTATAGAAAAAGAAGTTTTTTTGCGACATATTTTGTGGAGTTTTTAGAGAAAACACCAATAACATCATACATAACATAGCATTTATGAATTTAATGCCACAAAGTTAAAACTTAGCGGCGTTTATGTCTTAGCGCCGCAATATGCCCATACCTTTCATGGAGTTTATGTAAAAATTTCTTAGTTTATTTAAATTTATTAAAATTATGACCAATTTGATAGAATATATAAGTAACAATTACCAAATGTGTAATTATACCAAATATTTTATACCAAATATTTTAATTGTCACATCAGCTTCTCTATTAAATATTAACGGCAAGTGGCTTAATTGAATGCATTTAAATATTTGAGTGAACTGATTGACAAAATTTCAAAAATATTGGTTAAAATGAAAAGGGCCAATAGTTAGGTGGTGATTGGTATAGTTTACTCTTTATTTTAAATAATTTATCTTTAAATTATTAATTAATTTATAATTATACTTGAGTACTTTAGAATTTAAATATTAATAAATTAAATTAATGGTGTTCGTCATTAGTAGTGCTCATCGCTGCTTGTCGAGCTGTAAAAATTTCCAGTGAAATGAATATAGTCATAATATAATTTATTAATCGATAATTATTCTTAACGTTGTCATTGCAATTAAAAATATCACAAATTATCTTATTAAGTGAGCTTAGTAGTAAAGAAAATATTCTTTTTTTAGAAGTTCTCGATTCAAGAAATTACGTTTGCGGTATGTGTACTATTAATAAGATAAAAAATCTAAACATATATTACTCTATAACCACCCCAAATTATTAAAAAAATCTCACCATAAAAAATTATCAAATATCTTAAACTAAAATTAAAAAAAAATGACAATTTTTAAAATGAGTTTGTAGAGTTTTCGTTTAATATTACTATCGGAATACATTATAATAATTTATTATGAAAATATAAATATAACATGAGTAATTTTTTTAAATTTTATTTAACATGTAATATTAATATTTTTTAATATGCCCAAAACGAAAAAGAGGCAAAAAAAAAAAAAAAACAACAACAAAGCTAGCTCACTCCTATCAACCTGGTCAAAGAATCAATGTTAAATGTCTGGCTTTGGCAACACAATAATAGACCCCAAGAGTACAATTGAATAAATTAGCAAACTAGCAAAAAAGCACCATAAAAATAGTAACTGATGATCCACACTATTGCTGTAATATGAAAAGCATCCCATAATAAAGCTTCCTCTTCAAATTTAGAAACCGCCAGAGTTTTATAACCAATAAACTAATTGGGGGACCGGTGAAAATGGAAAACATTTACTACACATGTATATGTAATTTTGTCTTCAACATCATAAAGTTTTCACAATCAACCAGAAAAAAAAGGATGAAATATAGAAGCAATTATGACATCAAGCAATTTGAAAAATAGAATATGAACATGAAATTTGAAAATATTTCCATCTCCTTGATTTGTAACTGTAACAGCGATATATATACCATTCTCGAATACATAGATGTAAAAAGGTAGATTGTAGTAAGATTGTTAAAGTCTCTGTTGTATAGTAGTGTATGAACATCTCTCACCATCTTCAAGAGAATATCTAAATTTTACACTAAAATCTCTATTCTTTTATGTGTTCAATGGCATCATGGAACCAAAAACCTAAGGCAGATATGAAAAAACATGAGATTAATTATATAGAAATGTTGTACCAAAATTCTAAGACTCCAAAGCAAAGGGTGTTTGCAGAAGATCATAGGGAGCCCATAATGCATCCAAAGGGCAAGGTCTGTTAGCATCTAGTCTAACCCATGGCTTCCCTTTGCCGCTCCAATGCAGCAAACTGACCGGACCAGGATGCAAATTTCTGCACAATCCTCTATAGTTATCTCCTCCCAGGCCGTGTTGGTTCCATCGATGATCAACGGGTGCTATGTTCCCTGCAAAAACCAGCAAAAACGGCGGCAAAGATCCTAACTCATAAATCCTCATCCTCTTCTGAAGCTCCATCCATTCTATAATCTTCGTGGTGTAATCTCCTTGCCGCCATCTCTGTAAATCTATCACTATTACACCTGTGTTGAAGTAACACGCTTTGCGGCCGGAAAATGTTAAAGATAGTGTCGGGTTTGACCAGAAAGTTGGGGTGAAGTAGGAAGTGAAGTTGGCGTTACAATACTCCGGTGCGGCTAAAACCGTGCTGTCCCCGAGCGGTGTGGAGGCAAGTTTAGCGATGTCGTCGACGAGGACGAGGTCTGAGTCCAAGTAAACAACTCGGGTCAGACATGGAGGGAGGAGGTTGGCGAGGTAATTGCGGGCGTAGTTGAGAGGGCAGTCCAGTGCTGAGCGGATGGAGGTGGAGATGAGGCCCGACACCGCGGAGGAGTCGTATGGGTAGATTTGGAACTTCAGGGAAGGGAAAGAGCGGGAGATTGTGTAGCGTAGGTGGTGGTGGTCGGCGGTGGCCGAGGCGATGAAGTGGAAGAGGATGTTTTGAGGGCAAGAAGAGTGCTGGAGGACGGAGAGAATGGCAGCCATTGAGCCACGAATGTAGGCAACGTCTAGGGTCATTGCAACGTGGACACCTTGGTCGGAGCACATTTCATTGGTGCCACCAGTGTCCAAGGATGGACAGGCGGGAGAGTTATAAAATTGTGGAGCTTCTTTGAATCTTTGATAATTACTGGAAGTGGCGGAGGCAGAGGGGAAGAAGAGGAGGAGGAGGAGGAGAGGAAGAAGCTGGTGGTGGTGGTGTCGGTGCAGTTGATCATGTGGTGGGGTGAAGCCAAAATTAGGCATTTTTGTTGGAGAGGATATGGAAAGTGTTAAAGAGAATGGTTTTTAAACCTTTTCGGATTTGAGGAGGAAACCCGATCCTTTGTCTGAAGTCTGAACGCACCTTGGCTGAAACTAGCAACCCAACCAGCCAAGGCAAGAGGTTTTTGAACCAATTCAAGTCCTTGCTTCTTCCTACTTTTTAAAGGTCAAATTCTAATTTCACTCCCTATTGTTAATAAAGTTTGCGATTTCTTCAAGTAATTGAAAATATTAAAAATTATTATTTTCTCTGCTTTCTTAGTTTATAAATTATATTTGATTGTATAATTAAATCTAATTCAATTGATATCATTATCGAAGTAATACATAGAAAGATGTTAAATCGAACATGTTTAAACGTTTTATATCTTTTGATTTAATAATTTAATTTTTTTGAAATATTATATATATTTTTTCAATAAATATTTGCTACAATATTAAAATACATTCTACTTTCTTGAGAGAAAAAAATTAGTTATTCGCCTTAACGATTATGCTAATTTCATTAACAAATCACTGTAAACTCAAATATGATAGTAAGCGAATTTTAATAGAAAAATATTACTAGGGTAAAAGTTGAACTTATAATTCTTAAATAAAAATGAGTTCAATTCTTAATTTTTTTAAATAAATGAATTAAATCTAAAATTTTTAATACATAAACAATAATATTTGATAAATTAAGAATTAAGTATTTTTGGAACAAACCGTGTTGGGAGGTTTGCTCCCATAATAAGCCTATGTATAATTGATCTAAATTAATCTATCAATAGATCGAATATCAATGATTAATTTTGAAAAATATAAATTAATCAAATCTAGATTCATTTTTTCCTTTAAAGCTCCTTTTTGATATTTGATACTAGATAAATACAATAAAGTCCAAAACGAGGAGTTATTAGGACGTGTTTTCTGTTGTAATTAGAGTGATTAATGAGTTGAGCAGTTCATCGGTAGCTCTAATTAGATTTGATCAAAACTCGGTAAAAACTTGATTTCGGTTAATTCAATTCGAACTGATGCTCATTTCAAGACTTTAACAAACATAGTCGAGCAAAGTACAGCTCGATTTGATTAGTTCAAGAGCAACTCATTAATTTTTTTATAACTTTTTAGTAGTTATCTTAAAAAATTATTTCATTAAAAAATTAGTAATTAACTAATAGATAATAAAAAAGATGATAAATTAATAATCTATTAATTTTTTTAATAAATAATTAAAAATACTAAATTATTAATTAATATTTTTTGTTTAACTATACCCAAAGATCAAACCCTAATTATTTTTTAATGTATTTATAGATTTTTATTATGGTGTTTAGACTTTGAATTTATTCCATACAATTTTCATAGTTTTTTTATTAAAATTAATAATTTATATTTACATTAAGTTCAATATAATATTAGTAGATTTTACTTATAGTTAAAAAAAATTGGCGAGTTTAACGGGCAATGAGGCGAGCAATGAGCTTAACGAGCAACTAGTCGAGTAACAATTTTTCTTAACGAGCATGAGTGAAGCAAAATTTTAGCGAGCTTAGCGAGCAATGAGTCGAGCAACAAATTTTCTTAACGAGCATGTGTCGAACAAAATTTTAACGAGTTTAACAAACAACTAGTCAAGTCAAACAACAAAAATTTTTAACGAGCATAAATCGAGCACCACCCAACTCGCTCGGTTAATGAACACCCCGGTTGTAATGGGTTTAATTAGTATAAATATGGCAGCAAATCAGATCTTTACGCTATACTTTTTATTTCTAAGATACATTTGGTATGCTATCAATTCTTAAATTCAAGATTTGCTGATTATATATGGTAAGTTTTGGCAAGAAAAATACATTAAAAGTAGCTATTTTACTGTAACTGAAATGGATATCAATCATCCCTGTAAAATAACAGAACGTTCAGCGAACCGTTCATAAATTGTTCGGTGAGAAGTTAGTTTATGTTCGTTTATTTATTAAACGAACGGACATGAACAAGATTTTATGTTCGTTTAATTAAATGAACGAACACGGGACATAAGGTTCATTCGTTCATTTACGTTCGTGAACGTTCGATAATTTGTTAGTTTATATTCATTTATTTATATTCATTTATATTCGTTCAATTATGTTTGTTTCTTTATGTTCGCGCGTTTATGTTCTCCAAACCCATTTGAAATATTAAAACTTAATAAATTTTAACCTTACCCCATTAATATTTTTAAACTCAATTAATTTTAAACCCAAATAAAATATAATCAAATCAATTAAAGAAAATATAAATCGTAAAATCATTTGAAAAGAAAATGCTCTTCTCAAATATAAAGCAAATAATTTTATGTTCGTTCGTTTATGTTCATTTACTTTCGTTCATTTGTATTCGTTTATCATTTAAATGAACGAACATGAACAAGATATTATGTTCGTTTAGTTGTTCATGTTCGTTCATTTATTTGGTTAAAGTTAAACAAACAAACATGAACATATCCTAGTTCGTATTCGTTCGGTTCGTTTACATGCCTATAATATTAATTAGGGAAACCAATTAAGAATTGTTTTTTTTTATATAATTATCTCTTCTAGTAATATCATACAATATCATACAATATTTTTTATATTGTTCCCCACTCTTCTTGGTATTTATACCAAAGAAAAAAACGCAAAAGGCAGATTGTAGTTCTTGAATTCATAATGAATGTGGTTCAGCCATCTACTTCGGAAAGAGCTCTACCACACGATTTCTTTTGCCATCAATCTAAGGATTTGAATGTTGAGTGTAACAATAAAAGCATTAAAAAAATAATTTAAGTATTATTTTTTTGTCACTAATTTGATCCACTTATTCCGTGAAATATTAAATGCAGGACCTTACCGAGTCTCAAAGTAAAAAATGCAGTCAAGCTATAATATTATGTCAATAACAACAAAAGCCACATCATCTAAGTTGCAGACGAAAAGAAACATGGCACGTGGATGCAATATGTGGGTCCATAAAGTGCCACCTAAGCAAAGGCACGTTATTGTTGAAGACAAAACGAAAGTTTGCTGTCGATTTTACAAGAGATAAGGACAGAGAAACCAAGAAATTGGTAGGGAGTGCTTCTCTCAACTAAACATTTTGCCTTCTGATCTAACATGTATTGTGGGTGTTTGTGATATATGTATGACCTAACATGGCTTGCGGTTATCCCTTGAATAATAATATAATAAAATAGTATGTTCCCAAAATATAATAAAATATGGAACTGTTCACAATTAATATCTTTTGGAATAAGTTAACAATACCGACAATAGTATTGTTAGAACCGTTTTTGAGATTTTGATGACATAAAGAAACACAAAATTATGCTTCAAATAATAAATATTCAAAAAATAAATTATAAGAGTAAATAAAAATAAATTAATTTACTTGTAAAATATATTTTTAGGTATAATTCCAAAGTTAGCCCCCAATATGGCAATATTTTCAAAATGGTCATTTTGAATTCTTTTTTGGGAGCATTTTTCACCAACATTTTATTTTAGGGCAAAAAGTTTCCTAACGTTTGATTGAATAGTCACTTTGATCCTTATTCTTTTTTTTAAAGCATTTTGGCTCCCAATGTTTCATTTTAGGGTAAGAAATACTTAGTTTGGAGCATTAACTGTTTGTTAACTGACGATTTCATCCATAGAGAGACTTTTTGCTCTAAAATGACACATTGAGGGCCAAAATGATAAAAAAAAAGAATACGTTCCAAAATGATTATTTTAGTAAATGTTGGGGGGCTAATTTTGTCATTGTTACTATATTTTATTATGCTTAACAAACTATCTAATAAATATATTAAATTACAAATAGAAAATATCAAGAAATTTTATTGAACACCTAACAACTCAGACAAAACAAGTATGACCCTCTTTTAAGAGGGTCAAGGTTTGATTTCAATCATCTTTATCTTGTCAAAAAATAATAAAAGAATAATCATGGGGAAATCAAAAAATAATTTTAAAACATCATGTCAACATCGCTTTTAGTTTTTAATAGTGGATGAACAAAACAAAAAAATAAAACGTAACAATATGTATGGTTTTGAAAAAAATAATTAAATGACTAAAACAAAAATGAAGAAATAAGTGAGTGACTAAATAGATAATTTATATCTTTTCTTAATTATACGTGGATATATTATTTTTGGGCCCTGATAAGGTGCCCCTCCTGTCATGGCTCAGCTACGACTCTGAATATCAACAATATCATCAGCATAGTGTTAGATTTTCTTAAAATTAAAATTTTGAATATATTTATTTTTTAATATGTATCATTTCTTTACAAAAATTATTAATATTTGATGCTTTTCAATTTATAATTTTTTTGTACCACTAAGAACTTAGATACTGATTTGTCGTAATAAAATTTTAAAATTAAACTTATTGATGTACAATTAAAGGAAACGGTGAGGTTTTGTGGTGATTGGTTGAATTTTTTTCCTTCTAAACTAGACGAAAAGTTACTAGAGAATGATAGTGATCAAAATTATTTCTGAGGGCTAGGATCTAGTCGACACCTTAATTTTACAGACTTGAGTGATATAAGAAATCATCGAAGCGAGTAATCATTTTTTTAAATTATATTCAAACTTTAAAACATTTACGCTAAGTACAAAAATGTAACAAATTACAAAAGCGCTCCCAACACATAAATACATAAATAAAATATTGCAAGTTGATTCATTTTCAAATCACAACATCCACATTACCACTGAGTCGTCATCATTGTACTCTGATACTCTATTGAGATTCATCTGATAATATCATTGTCCAATTGCACTCCATATAACATGTAGCCCGTGAACAAAAACACATTTCACATGTTGAGCTCAAAAGCTTAACATCACACAAAACATCTACTTTATTACATGCTTTCAAAACATAAGCATGCCAACGAGTATATCCAGAGAAGCAATACTATCAATGCAATCAATGCTATCTATCCATCTAGCCAATGCATATATATATATATATCACAAT